CTTTTATGACTTTTATATTTGCTCTATGTAACACTATTGGTTAGCATGCCAGGTTACAAGGCCTCCAGCAATGTTTTTAAAATATAACTGTAACCTTACAGAACTTCAATGTGCCTCGCCGCTCAGTTAGACACATGTCAGCTCTTGTATTGACAGCACGTTAAAATTCCATTGTAACGTATTTATTCCTGCTCTATGCGGATTGCAATTGGTAATATTTGCCAAAGCTTCGTCTGGACCATCGAACGGCATTGGGTAAGTCGCTGCGCCGACAATAGTTGTTTGGTTCAGATTTAAGATCCACAGTTCTTTTGCAGATGAGATAAATAAGTGGGTTTGTTTCGATCTAATGAATATCCCTTACGAAAAAATATGATTGGGAGCTAATGGTAACTATTGACACTCAATCATAGCTATTGATTGACAAATAGTAACTATTGGGTCACCAATAGTAATGATTGGATTGTCAAAGGTAACCATTGACGCTTAAAGAGTACGCGGTTGGAAGGACCAATGATTACTGTTGAAACTCATAGTAACGATTGACGAACAAACGCAACTATTAGTTTATGTAATAGTAACGATTGGAAAGACCATCAGGGTTACGATTCAAACTTAGTTAAAATTTGTGACTCAATAGTAACGATTGACAAACGGATGTAACCATTAGGTTATGAATAGTAACGATTGAAGAGACCAAGGGTACGATTCGAACTAATTAGTCAAAATTTGTGACTTAATAGTAACGATTGACGAAAGAATGTAATCATTGGCTTATAAATAGTAATAATTGGAGAGCGTACCAATGGTTACGATTCAAAATTATTGTTAATCAAAATTGCAGACTAATTATATGTCGTAAATACTTTCTTTCTACATATTTTTTGAAAATAAAAAGAAACGTTTTAAAAAACATTATTTTCCACTTTTTGCGTATTAAAAAAGTTTGTATACTTATTTTGTAAAAGACAATATATACGTATTATTTTAAAAATAAATTGTTATTAATATATATTTTATTTACGAATCTTTCATTAAAATACACTGCTCAAAAAAATTATGGCATAGAAAAATTTTGAGCAAAAATTGGTCAACTTTGGTTAACGGTAACTCCGCGAAAAATCATCGTAAAATGATGAATTTTTTTTCAAATGAAAGCTTGAAATCTCTACTTTAAAATACCGTGAGTGAATTTTAAATTTAACGCACCCCTGTGGCTGTAAACTCTTAAATCTGAGAGCATGTTTGCCACACTGAAAATTTGCAAAGTTTGAA